AAAGTTTGTTCTAGTCATGGAAAGGGTTATGCCAAGTTGCTGCAGTTGGGTTTTCACATTGGCTTGCTCAAAATGGGACATATAATGTGTAGTTGGGGCTGGGCATGGTGGCTTAATCCTGTAATCCTAGCACTCTGGGAGGCGCAGGCGGGCAGATTGCTCGATGTCAGAAAACCACTAGCGGAAGAGCGAGACCCCGTCTCTACTATAAATAGAATATGAAGTCAACTAATATATATTAGAAAAATTAGCGGCATGGTGGCGCATGCCTGTAGTCCCAGCTACTCAGGAGGCTGAGGCAGGGAGGATTGCTTTGACCCAGAGTGTGATTGTTGCTGTGAGCTAAGCTGATGCTGGACTTCATCTAGCCTTGGTCAAAAAGTGAAACAGCCCGCAGAGATGGCTCCCTGTGAGAGGCTGGCTGCCGCGGACCGCGCAGGAGAGCTCCCGGGTGCCAACGCCACTGGCCTGGTCCGGAATATCCTTTAGCAATTCCTTTTAGGGAAATTATGTGCCTGGGTTGTAGAATTGAAGAAGTCTATTAAGTCACCCTGTATTTTCAGGGCAGAGGAGGGACTATTTTTTGCCATTTTGGGGAAACTTTGTTCATGCTATTCCTTTGGAATATTCTGTCAATCTCCATATGTTGACATCCTACCAACTCCTTATGGTTTGCTTAACATGGCACTTCTTCTTGAGGACTTTGCCAGTTCTTGCCCAGCTTACCTCCTATACACATCTTTCATATCATAAATTACTGCAAAGTGGTGACTGGCAATCTTGGCTTCCACAAGCACCAATATAACATTTTGTGCATAATAGGTGCCAAATTAAATTGAGGTTTCTGTGTCTGCATAGTAATATGAATTTGCTACATTTAAGCAAAATTTTTGTTTTGATATGGCTACCTGATTTATTTTTAATTAAAAAATATCTGTTTTTCTGTAACAATTCTAAAATGATTCCTTTTTCCTAAAAAGTAACAATATTTTAACAGCTCTGAAAATTAGACATCATTATCAAAACTTCTCAGCACATGCGCTTTGTCTAAATTCTGGAGGAAAAAAACACATTATTGAAATTTGGTCAATTAAATGCTCCTTCACGAGAGTTTATTTAACTCTTTTTTAATTTTACTTTTTTTTTTTTTTTTTTTGAGACAGAGTCTCACTCTGTTGCCCAGGCTAGAGTGAGTGGCGTGGTATCAGCCTAGCTCACAGCAACCTCAAACTTCTGGGCTCAAGCAATCCTCCTGCTTCAGCCTCCCAAGTAGCCATGCCTAGCTAATTTTTTCTACATATTTTAGTTGGCCAATTAATTTTCTTTCTATTTTTAGTAGGGACGGGGGTCTCACTCTTGCTCAGGCTGGTTTCGAACTCTTGACCTTGAGCCATCCACCCACCTTGGCCTCCCAGAGTGCTAGGATTACAGGCGTGAGCCACCGCGCCTGGCCTATTTAACTCTTAAAAAGAGCATTAAATTCAGTTTTTTTTTTCTCTTGGATTTAATCTTTACATATGGGGCAAGTTCATGGTGGGGGCTACCAGTTGTGTTGAAGATGACAGATATGATATGGATTTGTTGCTTATTGGTGTCCTGTTGTTTTTTCTAAATGGCAAGGATTTTTATTCGGCCAAGGTACATAGTACTCTGAAAGTCCCTGCCACTAGCTCCAGAATTTATTTTGCCAGATGACAACGCTAGCATGTGAGATTTTTAATGCAGAAAAGCAGATCTTATAATTGCTGACTTTGATGCTTGGCGTTAAAGTGTGGCCATGACTTAGAGCCTTCTGATCTTCTTTGCTTATGTATATATGAAACTTCTCTGTTATAACTTTGGACACTTGTTTTTTCTTGGAGACAGGGTGTCACTCTGTGGCCTGAGCTAGGGTGCAGTGGTGTCATTGTACCTCAGTGCAACCTCCAACTTTCGGGCTGTAATGATCCGCCTGCCTCAGCCTCTAGGGTAGCTGGGACTATAGGTGCACACCACCACACACACAAAATTTTAAAGTTTTTTGTAGAGACTGGTCTTACTATGTTGCTCAGGCTGGTCTCAAGAGATTCTCCTGCCTTGGCCTCCCAAAGTGCTGGGATTACAGGCGTGAACCACCAAACCCGGCCAAGTTCAGACACTTTAAAGGTTTATCCACACACTTTCACTAGACCTAGTTCCCTTAACTCCCTATTTCCTGGTAAATATGACGTTTCTTCAAGGAACAGGGACTTTGCTGGGCTTCATCCTGATACTTAAGATCACATTTAAATGGCCTCTGACAAGCAAAGTTCCACCTGCTCAGAGACAAGAGTCCTGACTTGAACTGGGGTCTTTGGAATTTGGAATTTGGATGCAGAGCTACCGTAGGGAGGCTAAATTCATTCCCCATGGGTTGATAAAGTAGCTTGGGCTGTGCACGCAAGAGAGGGCCAAGCTTGATTCATGTAGTTGATTAGAAGTTATTTTAGCCTGGAAGCTACTGTGTCTGGGCTAGATCAGTTTAACTTAGTCGTTCTCTGGGGAAGACATAATCCCTCCTTTCTCTTTTTCCTTCTTTCATCAACAGTCAGACATCCATGGGCTCTTGTCCCCCCGGACTTCAGTTAGCTATCATAAAGTATAATTTGGAGCTTTAACAATGCTGTCAATACGCCGTGGGATTTTGTCATCACTTTACTATTGGTTAAAATCCCTTTCACTTATGGAGACTTCGCCTGCTTTCATCTTTGTGGTTGCCAGACTTGTAATTTGTTTTTCTGTTTAATAGAAACCTTAGAATCATTGGTATAAAGTAAAATATGCTATGAAAAACACATGCTTTTTAAAATAGCTCTTTCGTCTTTAAAAATGAAAATACTGTGCTTTCATCTGTTCCAGTACCAGTAAATGCATATTCTATAGCATCTCCTTTAAACGCAACATAAAAATTTTTTGTATACCGCCGTCAACTGTCAGAAACTACTTTTTTTTTTTTTTTTTTTTTTTTGAGACAGAGTCTCACTTTGTTGCCCAGGCTAGAGTGAGTGCTGTGGCGTCAGCCTAGCTCACAGCAACCTCAAACTCCTGGGCTCAAGCAATCCTCCTGCCTCAGCCTCCCAAGTAGCTGGGACTACAGGCATGCGCCACCATGCCCGGCTAATTTTTTCTATATATATTAGTTTTTCATTTCTTTCTATTTTTTTTTTTTTATAGTAGAGACGGGGTCTCGCTCAGGCTGGTTTCGAACTCCTGACCTTGAGCAATCTGCCCGCCTCGGCCTCCCAGCGTGCTAGGGTTATAGGCGTGAGCCACCGCGCCCGGCCTGAAACTACTTTTATATGCCTCTTCATTTTCCTCTATACAGAAGAGATGTAGGACAAAACATTCATGCAGCAAAGAGGACACTGTGAAAAATTTAAAAAATTTAAAATGAGATAGAAATGTGGAAGAACTAAAATGCAGTAACTCTTTTAAATTCTTGCCTTGCCTTTCCTCAAACTTAAAAAAGGCCCCTTTTGAGAAAGTGGATGATATGAGGCCTCTCCATTGATCTAATTAGAAAAAAAATTCAAGTTCAGAACTGCGATTAAACATGACTTAAATGAAAAACTTTTCAACCTGTTCAAGAGTAAATATAGCTTCTAAATTTCTAATTTTAATATTTCAAAGCTCTAAAAATAGAAATAGATGGCCATTTACAGAACTATTTGGAAATTATGCATTCATGTGGGAAATAAAGATTTTGTTTTAACTGAGGAATAACCTGTATATAGTAAAGTTCGTAACTCTTAACTGCAGGTCAATAAATGTCTTTCATACGTCTACACCTGTGTAACTACCAGTCGGATTGAGATAGAGCACATTTTCAGCACCGGGAAGTCTTCCTCATGCCTCTTCTTGCTCAAAGCCACAGCACTGTCCCGCCCTGTCGGGGTGACTGCTATTCTGATGTCTATTACCATAGCTCAGCTTTGCTGGCTCTTGCTCTTCATAGACATGGAAACATACTGCGTGTGCTCTTTTGTGTCTGGCTTCTCTCGGTGAACTTGTTTGTAGGATCATTTGTGCATGATGTGTGTAGCAACAGTTAATCTTTTTTTATTCTCTGTGGTCTTCTGAAAGATAGGTTTCTGCAACACCTCTCCTTCTGGAGCGATATGCGCAAGGAGCAATAACAAACAAACATCAGCATTACTTTATCATTAACGGAGCATGTGCCCAGTAAGACCTCCTAGCCCACAGCCCCGCTCCAGAGCAGAGCTCTGAGGAGTCTGAGCCGGAGCACACGGTGGGTCAGGTTCTATTTCAGCTTCTCTCCTCCCACTGCAAACCCACAGCTTGGATTTGACTGTCACCTGGCCAGCCTCATGGACCATGACCCAAATGCTCCGGGAAAGGGCGGTGATGCTGGCCTGTCCTGGAGAATGGGTCCTGGGCCCGTTACCTCCCCCTTTATGTGGAAATGAAAGTGTCATAAAGGGGAACTGCATCTGACATTTTAAAATCCAGTGATCTCTCCCCAGAACAAGTGTGGCCTGGTCAACGTTCACGTTTGGAAGCTGTCTCAGCATTTCCACGTGTGGGTGATTGGGAAAGAGGGAGATAAAGAGGCAAAGGTCAGGGGAGCCCGGAAGGCCCTCTCTGGCTCGTGTAACCCTATGTCATTTACACTTATTTTTAAAAGAGTATCCGTTCTGTGACTCTTGAACGTAGAATGAAGTGTTACCTTTTGTACTTTCACAGAACCTGAGTCCTGGGCTGTAGTGGGGAAACCGAGGCTGCAAGGAGGGCCGGGCTGAGTCCAGTCCCGAGGCTGATGAGCTTCAGGGCTGCCTTGGGCCATGCGCTTAACCCCTCTCATTCCTCACCTGCAGAACGTGGCGGCCGGGCCAGTGGGCCTCCGGGCACATGGGGAAGCTGTAAAGACGGCGGATTACAGACCATGCAAGACAGTACATTTTACATCTCCATCCTCTCCCCCACCCTTTTTTGATTGAGCATCTGTGAGACCTGCTAATTCTTCTGGAGATTTCTGAATATCCTGTCTTCGCCCAGGTTGGGCAGTGCTAGATGCCGGTTCTGACTGTGCAGCTATTAACTTCATGCTGAGGATCTTGTTTTAACGTATTCAAATGAGGTAACGTGGAGATGAAACGTTCTGAGAGATGAGATGAGACGGAGTGGCAGGTTTAAGCTCCCTAACATGTTACATATTCCTCAGAGAGTTGAGCCGCTTCCTTAGGCTTAGCAGAGCCCACACCCATGCTGCGTGTGTGTGTGTGTCTGTGTGTGTATGTGTGTGTAAGGGGGCGCTAGGGACAGGCTTTCCATGTCTGCGCTGTGGTCACATGTGGTCAGCACTTCTAGGGCCATTTATGGCTTTCTACTTGTACATTTTTCTTGCTTTTTTTTTGGCCACTTTCCTGAAAAACAGGCTGTGTGCTCGTCCCGCTCCGCCTGCAGCTAGGAGATCAGTGCTACTCAAACTGTAGGGGAGTCATCACAGGAGCTTGTTGAAATGCAGACCTCAAGCTCTGCTCCCGGAGATTCTGACTGAGAAGGTCTGGGGTGAGCCCCGAGGATCTGCGTGAGTGATGAGTACTATTGTTACTAGCATTATTGACATAATTATAATTATTTGCATTATTGACAGGATTCTGGGACCGGAGGTTCAGGGACCACGCTGGCCCATTCTGGAAGCTTCTGGAAGCCCTTTGAAGGCCTGGCAGGCCGGCCTCCTTCAGTGGCACTCTGTCCATGTGCTGTGGGTTGTCAGTGGGGAAAGAACAGAGTCATTTTAAAGGAGCATGGATCCTAGGCTCTAGCATACTTTTTTCCCATCTGGCAGACAAAGTTTATGACTACTATGCAGACAGGTGGGTGCAGGATACCACATTCCTAGATTCCCAGAGAGGAGGACACTTTTTTCCAAGAACATTATCGGGTGGAAATGTGAAAAATTCACACAACTGCCAAAACAATGGATCTTCATGAGCCCAAATATTCTGAATATTTGAAACCATCGGAATGATTTATTAAACTTTTCACTTCCCACGGACGCGCTCACTGGGTGTTATGCAGATGTAGATCTCACAGCCAGGATGGTGTCTGTTGAGAGGAGGATTCAGTCTCCACCAAACTCAGCCCCACTTGTGTTTCAGCAGCAAACCACTCTGACTGTGGCAATTTTCATAGCAGGAAAAATTTTAGATGGTTGTGTGGTTTCTAGCTTTGCTCTTTTCCATTTTACACGTGAAATGTTTGGGATCAGATTGGTTTTCTTTCAAACTATGGTCCAAATTAATTTATACTGATGATTAAAAAGAGAGAGAGAAATTGCTACCTTTAAGAGATTTTGACCTCAAGTCCTCTGATATTTGAGACACATTTTTTTTTATTCCCTGGGTTGCAACCCTTCAGTAGCATGTAGGCGAGTTTCAAGGAAAGGAAAGAGTAATGAAAAATCTAATATAAAGGCTATAATTTTCTAAAGGAGCCTGTTTTTTATTAAGATCAAGTGTATGTCAGTCATCTTATATTTTGGGAACATCAACTGAATGCGGGTACTGTAGTGGGTACTTTTCCGTGTGTGGAAAATTATATCCAGCGTAATCAATTTTTCTAGTTCAATAAACATTAAAAAGAAGGGAAATGAAATATTTCTATATCTCATTAGCATAAACAATACAAGAACCCTGACCTGGAAGGCTTGGGCTTAGCCCTGTCTCCATGGGCCTCGTCTTCTTCACAGAAAGAATGGGAGGAATATTTGTCTTAAGTACCACATAAGGAGCTTGTGAGAATCAAATGCAGTGAGATACGCAAAGGAGGTTTTTTTTTTGTTTGTTTGTTTGTTTTAAGAGACAGGGTCTTGCTGTGTTGCCCAGGCTGGAGTGCAGTGGCTATGCACAGGCGCAATCATAGCTCACTACAGCCTTGAACTCCTGGGCTCAAGTGATCCTGCTGCCTCAGCCTCCCGAGTAGCTGGGACTATAGGTGCATGCCATCACACCAACGATGTGGGAGTTTTATCAAAGAGTAAGAGCAAAATTAATATAGTTTATAATCATAATATAATACAGGGTTTGAATATAGTTTGCAAACATTAAATTCTAGATGCAAGTAGAGCATTCCAGCCTTACAATTCCAATTTATTTCCTTTATTTCAATTCCCTCCAGTAGTACAACAGAATTATTGTATTATTTTGACATGAAGTCTCTATTATATTTTGAGATGGATTATTTGTATCATTTTGAGGTGAAAACTGTACAGATGTTTCATCTTCCTTTCCACTTCTTTTTAAAATCTTCTTTTTAGTAGTAAGCGGCATGTGTCTGGAAGTCTCAGCATAATGTGGGTTTTCACATACCCGTTGGTCAGACAGTTAAAGGTACAGTGAGCTGTTCTCTGCGAGCTGGGGTGGAAGGAGTTAGCCACACTCACTCGTTAGCGCCCAGAGAACAGGGGCCCAGGACACACTCTCTCTTGCTCTCCTTTTTCCTGCACCCCTTGGAAGTGCACCCAGGGTCTGACTGCAGTAATAAATGTGGTCTGCAGTACCTGTCTGGTTCTTCTCTCCCTTTCCAAATTTTAAATCTGACATGAAGACAGAGGCAATCCTAAATGTAAATATGAGTTTTTGATTATTTAAAAATATTCCTTTTCTTTGCTCTCTCTGTCTCTTGCTCATGTACACAGCACCTTTGTGTAAATACACGTGAAACATCAAGGCCCATTGAAAGAAGAAAGAAATTACATAATTATAATGTCCAATGAAGCTGAAATATAAACACTTAAGGATTTATGAGATTTATCAAAGACACTAGCATAATTTTATTCCTTGGGTGCTTTTCATGTTTACAGAAGTAATGTGGTAATCACAGAAGATGTGATAAATATGGAAACACACAGAGAAGAAGCAAATTGCACTTTATCTGCTCTTCAGAGATGACCCTTATTAATATTTTTAGAATAGCTTTCTAGTCTTATTTTCTTTTGGGGTATGTGTATATATGTATGCATATTCCTTTTTCACATATTCACTATTATATGTAATTATGTTGTTTTTTTTCCCCTCTCAAAGGATAAACATTTATTTCTCACAGTTCTGAAGGCTGGGAAGTCCAAGATTAAGGTGCGGGCAGATTCAGTTCCTGGTGAGGGCCCTCTTTCTAGCTTGCAGACTTCTTTCTGTGTCCTTATCTGGTGGAGAGAAAGAGCTTTGGTGTCTCTTTCTCTTCTCATAAGGGCAATAATCCCATCTGGGAGCTCCACCCTCATTATCTCATACAAACCTAGTTACCTCCCAAAGGCCTCACCTTCAAATAGCGTCACATTGGGGGTGAGGGTTTCAATATATGAGTTTTAGGGGGACATAAACATTTAGTCCATAACATTCTGCCTTGGATTCCCCACCCCCCAAATTCATGTCCTTCTTGCATGCAAAATACATTCATTCACTCCATTCCAACAGCCTCAAAAGTCTTGACTTATTCCAGCATCAATTTTGAAGTCTAAAGTCCAAAGTCCCACCTAAATATCATCTAAATCAGATATTACAATTATGTTTTATAGCTTGAATGTTGTAGAGTCTATATTTGACATTTCCCATATCATCAAGCGTTCTTGGTAGTACACTCCCTGAAACAGAGTAGGTGTTGAGTAAACATTTGCTAAGTTAATAAATAGTTTTTAATGGATTTATGGTGTTCTATCATATGAAAATATCATAACTGATTTCATTAGTCAACACTCTGGTCATTTTTAAAGCAGAAATATTATAGGGGAAGTGAGAGGTTATTCATATAACTATGGCCACACTGTGGTGGGAAGAACATCATTTGGAGAGAAGGCAGGAAGCAGGGTGACACTCTCTGTGGGGCAAGGCCTGGGGGAAGGAATATGGAACTCCCAGTAATGACCATGAACTTTGTGCCTGAACTCTGTTTCAGCTCACTCAGAGATTCACCTATTAAACCTGGAATAATGTGGAAAGAGGGCCCTAAAGTGAATTCAGAGATAGTTATGTGGCCTGAGTCAGCTAATGAGAATGCTTTCAGCTGCAAGAAACAGAAGGCCAACCTAAACTGGCTTAAACAATAAAAATGTACTGAATCATGTGAGTGAAAGTTCAGAGATTGGTCAGACTTCAGTCATGGCTCTACCAAGCCTTCTGCCTTATTTTCCTGTGATGGTCCCAGCTTGGCACTCCTCTATGGACTGATTTCATTCTTGGGCTCATTCTTCTGGAGGTCCACCAATAGGTGACTGCTATTGGTCATCAGAGCTACATGCTCTGTTTATACACAAATATATATTCATAAGAAAGGGAACAGGAGAGCATATCTTGGCATATCTCATAACAGAAAGGAATACTTTCCCCTGAAGCCTCCAGCCAATTTCTTGTATGTTTCATCGGCTCCAATGGACCTAGACATCTCCATTCCTCAGCCCGTTGCTGACACGGGGGATGGGAATGGGATGACCATGATTAACTCACACTAACCAGCCAGGATGAAGCAATTGTTGGTATGTGTAATACATGTCCGGGTGACAAACAACCACAAAACCCTAACAATAAGCATCGATGTAGCTCATGTGTCTGTGTCTTGGCTGGAGGTCTTCTGGTCTAGGCTAGGCTCCCTCTGCTCCACGCAGCTTCTCCTCCTGGGACTAAAGGCAAGTTCTTCTCACGGTGAGAGCAGCAGAGAAAGAGGGCAAGTGGAAGCACACAAGGGCCCCTGAAGGCTTAGGCGTGGAAGTGACACAGCATCCCTCTGTCTCATTATATTGGCCAAGGTAAGACACATGGCTAACCTCAAAGTCAAGAGGAGGAGAAATACACTTTGACTGGTGGAGTAATGCCAAAATCACATGGCAAAGGACGTGGGCAGTACTGAGACTAGGATGAGGGGTGTGAACATTTATCTTCAGTGAGAAGCTTTAGGGGGAGCCAAGATACTTAATCAAGATAAATAATATTTTCATAAAATATTTTTTAAAAAATCACAATTAATGCAGAAACATTTGTGATGAAAAAAATACCAACATTTTAAATAAAGACAGGATCAGGATAGGGAGGGGTGAAGAATTAGGGCCAAGAACTCAATCTAGTGTAGGCCACCGAGCACAGTGCTTCTTTGCTGCTTGTTTCCTGCTAGGTCTGTCTGCACCTCAAGTATCTGTTTATTCTGGAAGTCTCTAAGAAATTGAGTAGAAATAATCTCAAGGAAACACCCTTAAGAATAAAATATTTCTTAAATTTTTTTGGTTAAAAAAAAAAGAAGACAAAAGAAAAGAAAATAAAGTTCCATTCAATGGTTCTTTTACATTAATTCATTTCTTGTTTTCTAGTGTAAGAATTGGCACAATTTCCATAAGAATTAGAATTAGTAAGGTAGGTCTAGAGACTGAGATTCAGAATACTTTTAGATTTTAAATGCAGTGCATGTTTTGACAAAGTGCAGCTGAAGTCTTTTTGGATCCGATCACAAGTTATGCTATGGGTGCTTAACTTTTTATAAATGAGATAGGCCTAGGAATCCGAGAGCGTCCGTTTGTGTGGGGAGGCCTTTCTCCCGTCTCATTCGGTGAGTGAGGTGCTAATCCCAGCGCTGAAGATGTTGGCGGAGAGGACAGACTCCTGAGGCTCATGGGACCGGTGTGTGTGGAGCTGCCATGGGACCGTGCGCTGCTACAGAATTATGCAGGAAACAATTTTCAAGGAAACAAGAAGGAAAACATTATTGGATCCAAAATTCTATCATTTTTTTTTTAATTTAAAAAAAAGCAAATCTCTCTCTAGCTTGAAATGCTAGAGCTACAATTTATTTCTTCTTGAATTTGTCCCAGTGGGAATCATAGTCTGGGTCATATGGGGTGACAGCCACCTTCCCACCTTAGCTGATTCTGCCCCAGAATCCGGCTGCTCCCACAGACTTATGGAAAGGAGGGGCAGGGTGAAAGGAGGGGGAGGGTAAAAGGAGAGGTAGGGTGAAAGGAGGGGTAGGGTGAAGGCTGGCACCCAAACAAGAAGAAACAGGAATCTTTTCATGTGGTGAGAACCGACCCACGCTCGCTGAACTATTCGCCTCAATATATCCTGACGAGGAGTCTGAGATGTCCCACCAAGGAAGGTGCTGCATCTCCAGGAGGCACGACTCAAAAGGCCGACGTGCCAAGAGAAAGCGTTACCTGAGCAAGCGACTGGCTCACGGTGACAGAGCTGCACATCCAGTGGGATTTAAAATGGAAACGGAGAAAGAGGGAGTATGAATTCTTGAAGAGCTGGTGCAAGCTGGATAGTTGGGGGACAGGAAGTACCACCTGGAAATAAATGTGAGAATAAGTGATGTTTTTGGAGAAAACTATGAGGAGAGGCAGAAATGAAACCAATGGTTCCAGAGGCCTCTATGTCGGTATCTTAAGCATCAGTATTAAGTGAATTTTGTAATGTAGGGTGGTACTAGGATTTCCTAAGCATAACCAAGATTTGGAGCAAATGCAGCAGAGGAAAGGATAAGCCTAATCAAAATCAACATACCCAATAAAAATAGTTAGCTAGCGTGATGCTTTGTAAGAATTCCCCCTAAATTTCCCCTTTAAAATCTGTTTTATACACAGTCTTTAAGAGTTATCTCTTTTCTAAAACACAGATGTAATGATACCATTTCCCTGATTTAAAAAAGTTTGGTGAATTCTCCCTGTCTATAAACTAAAGTTTAGAGTTCCCTGCATAGCATAAAATGCTCTTTAAAATCTGGTTTTATCCTGCTTTATTTACCATCGAAAATAAATATTTACTGGGGGCCTACTCTGTGTGTTCAGGATTTTTATATACTGGGGAACAAAAAGCCACCCCACGCCCGCCCTGTGCCTGCCCCCGGCTTTCCTTCTTTTGGCCTTCTTCCCTTCCCCTTCTTGTTTTTCCCTTGGGTTTTTCTTCTTTTGTTTTCTTTTGCTTCGGGGGCCTTGCTTGCCTTTTGCCGGGGACTTCTTCCCCTTCTTCAAGACCCAATTCACATGTTAGCTTTTCACCATAGTCTTCTCTCACAGGCCACGCAGAAATAATTTCTCCCTTCTCTGTTTTCAAAGAGCTCATCGTTCATACACCAAGCGCAGGACTTAGAATTTTGTCATTATTACTAGTTATTTATCCATCTCTGGAATTGGTTTGTGGAGCGAGGGCCTGCAGCAGAGTAGAGAGTTACCGACTGACAGTAAATGAGGGAAGAAATGAGGGGAGGAGATTCACATCTACACAGGAAAGCACAAACCTGAAACCAGGGCACTGGGTGAACTCGGGGATGAGGAGCAAAGGGTAGGGGAGGAGAGAGAGAGAGAGAGAGAGAGAGAGAGAGAGAGAGAGAGAGAGAGAGAGAGAGTCAGTCTTAGGTTCGAGTTGCCCATAAGGGCAGGTCTCAGATGTGCAGGTCCTGGTGGGATGTTTTGGAGGGCCCAGTGCTGAAGAGGGGCACCCAGGGAATGAATAACCTAGGAGGTGAAGCCCAGCTGTCGGAGCAGAGTGCTGTCTGCCCAGCACTACAGCCATGACCTTGGCACTGTGCTGAGCTCTGGGGAAGCGTGACCTAGAATTGCTTCTAGTAGGGTAGGTGCCTATAGAAGTGTACATGTTTGCATGCGTGTGTGTGCGCGCGCGTGTATGCGCACGTGTGTGTGTGTGTATGTGTGTGTGTGTGTGGGAAGGGGACGAGAAGCAGGAAAGCAGGAAGGAGAGGCTGTAGCACAGCAAAGTTTGGAACTAGGTGAGCAATGAGAATATTAGAGAAAACGGAGGAAGGAATCTTACAAATATGGTTGTGCGCCACCTTCCCCCGCCCACCCCCTCCCCATTCCTCTGCTGCATAATTTGGCCTGTGTGTGTACGTGTGTGGGGGACGGGGTGAGCAGGGGGAGAGGGCTGCCCCATATCCTCAAGGAGGCAGAACTATGGCAAAAGATGAATGGAAGTGGTCGTGGCTGGGCGTGGGGATACGACTGCATCTGTGACGAGGCAGAGAAAGTAGCCGGTGCCCCAGACACAGATCACAAAACAGGCCCAGGGCCAAGGGGGAGCAGCCCGAGCAGCTGGTCAAGCATAGCCTCACCTGGACATGAGGCCTTTACAGCAGGCCTCCAGAAAGCTCGTTTCCCAGAGGGCACGGAAACAACTAGGGAAACTGCTCCCTTCGGTAAATTTTAATGGTCGAGGCAGAATTCAAGTGCACACAGTGCTACTGATGGCACCTTGGGAGAAGGGGTGTGGTGGCCGGCGAGGGACACTCAGACCTGTACAGTTGTCTCTCGAACTCTAAATTTGTAGAATGCCGATTTCTTAAAATTCAGGATGGACCTAATTTTGTGGCCCAGGATTTGGGAAGAGGGCGACCCTCATGAGCTCATCCCTGGGACTCAGATTGTGTCATTATGTGAAACTGATCTTCTTGAAAACAGAAGGGAGGCACCGCCCTCGCCCCTCACCCCTCACAGAGTGGCTGCGCCGGGAGCTCTCTGATGGGCTCTAAATCTAAGGGGACACTTGCAGAGCTGATGAGAAAAGGGTATAATCAAGACGAAGACAAGTAAGGAGCACACACTGCCTGAGTAAGGACCGTGCCAGAGGGGCCCGCACCTAAAAGGAGCTGCAGGTTGTGAACGTGGCTGAGGACCCGAGAGAAGACTCTTACGGTCATATTAAGTGAGAAGATCAAGGGAACGAGAGAGCTGTTTGGGTGACAAGAGAACCCAGTGGTTGCGAACATGGGCTCTTACAGCTCGGCTTCCTTACCTGTGAGAGAGACACTCGTGGCACCTACCCCGTAGGGTTGTTTTGAAAATTAAACAGAATAACGTGCGGGAAACACTTAGAACAGTGTCGAGCCTTGGCAGGCCATCTGTGTCTTCACGTGTGTCCTTACGTGTGGAGCAGGCTCTGTGCTGGGCACCGGGGACGTGGTGTGAGTCACACAGATGACGTCCCGCCCGCAGGACCTCACGCTTACAGGGGCACAGTACGGGCACCCTGACAGCGGGTGACCTGTGGGAGGGTGGGGGGAGGGCAGGCCGACCTGAGCGGCAGGTGTTTAAACCAGGATGGACGGGCTGGCAGGCGGGTGGCGAGAGCGGAGGAGCAGCAGGAGCCGAGGTGAAGGAACCGAGAGTCGGCCCCGACCACTGGGCAGGGAGAACCTTGGCAAGTGGCTCGGAGGAAGCAGAAGTCTGGCACTTTCCATTTGTTTCAGTCTTCCTTGCCCACAAGCATCAGTTTGAGACTGAAAAGGTCTAAATATCAGAGCAAGGAAATCAAAAGAGCACCCGGCTCTTCCAAATGGAGCCGGCCCTTCCACCCCAGCTGTGGGCTCCGCCTCACTCACTCTGACCATCATCCCATGTTGACGGTTAGCGCTTCATGATCCAGTCTGGGAGCACCTGCCGTGGACTTGGGGTTCCTTTGACATTTCAACTTCTATTTTAAAAAGTCATGGTCAAGCAGAAACAGCATAAGAACTCTCAGTGGTTTTAGAAAAAGCTTTGTTTCAATGGTATAAAGTAGGTAGGTTGAGGAAATCATCCATGAAGATGGAGGTTTACACTTGCCGGAAATTGTTTTATGCAATCTGCGAGGGCCACGGCGTCCTGGAAGAAGGAGGCCACTGGACACAGTTGACATTTCAGGCCTGGACAGACCCTTTACTTTTAGGAGCAAATTCTAGGGAGTCATTTCCCTAAAAGGTAGGAGTGGCTGTTTGATAAAGCTTAGTCACTACTTCCACTTCCCAAAGGCAGAGGAAGGAGGAATGGCCAGACAGAGACTTGCTTGAGAACTGGAAACCACACACCTACAGAGAAATGGTGGAACCGTGACAGTGTGGAATGTGTGTGATTCTTAAAGGAAGGCGCTGGAGGATTGCCCGTGATGTGTTATTAAAGGAGCAAAGTAAGCTGTGGAATGAAGTGTGTGCTATTTCCATATTTGCATAAAGAAACAACAGGACAAACACCCGAATTTCTCCCATATGCATCAACATCTAATTGTATGAGCATGGATAGAGGTATTATCTCAGACAAGTAAGAACAGAGGCGTTTTAGGAAGAGAAATAAATTGAAGGGATGGAAGGAAGGGTAGATAGCCAAATCCATCCCTGAGACCCCTTCTTATTGAGACTGTTTCCAAATACACTGGGAAGCCCCAGTATTTGTGCTTGTCTTCTTACCTTTCATTGGTGTGCACTAATTTAGCTTTCTGTCAGCTGTGTTCCAAGATGACATTATGTACTCCTTTGGCTCACGGGCTGTATCTACTTTCTTTGGTGTCTTTCTCATTTGCCCACTGGAAGTCTCTGAGCTTTTCTTTGTTTTGCTAAATGGAGTGGGAGGAATTGTGGAGGTAACCACCTCTGTGATGTGCTCAGATGGTGACCAGAATTTCAAGAGGTATTTTCAGATTCCATAATATAATAAGAGAAGAGGAACCAACCCCTACCAGGTCCATGTTTCAATTTCATTTCTTTTCATCAGCTCCTCCCCTTTGATGGCAGTGAAAACTATAAATATTGAGACAGGTAGGATATTTAAAAGGGACTCTGCCAAGAGCCCGTGTTAAGAAGAGGTCCATTTCGAAGAGCAGCTCTGTATGCTAGCGGGGCAGTCCTTTCAGACAAGCAAAAAGCTGAAGGTCAAGTCAATAAGGTGAAAATACAGCCCGTCCACATCCTGTTTGAAGTTAAAGTATTCCATTATATAGTAACAAGTGTCTTCTGTGTTTTAGGTTGCGAGCGTGGGGAAGGGTTCCCACAAACCTGTTTCTGTTTCTTGGCGCACAGAAACTAGATGTAGTATCAGCCTCTTATGAAAAATAAGCATGATGCCTCCTCCGACATTTGTCATTACTTCTGACGAGTCTACTGGATCTGTGAAATGAGATTACTTGAAGACCTGTCAGAGATTGTGAAGCTGAACAAGATATATTGATTATACAAATATTTTTATGTCACCCTATATCTTGATAAAATAACATTTACGTCTGGAGAGTGTGTCAGGCTGGAGAGGCTGCCCCGAGCCAGGTCTGTTTTCTTAAATCAGGAAGGCGGTGGGTTCTGCTGGCAGCCTCTCAGCTTGTCAGGCTCCACGGTTGAACACAGATAATAATAATTTGGGGTGCACAGGAGCAGATTTCTGAAAGGAGGGAATTAACCCCTGTGTTTACATAATGAATCAGCAGGCAACTATGTCGGAGGCTAAGACCAACAGCAGGCATAGCTGGCTACTTCTCTCTTTCTAGAATTCAAACCTATGTGGAGATTCTAATGGAATTTCAGGTTCGGATCCTGATTTCTGGGAATTCCGGTTTATAACAAAGTACTGGAAAGGCTGGGCTGCCGGGGTGAGCACTGATGAGGCACCTTCTGGCACGGCCCTGCCATAAGTCCCCAGGGAGGAAGAGATGCACGTAGCCCGCTGTCCTGGCATGGTTTGTCTGGGGCCAGGCACCGTGGGCATTCAATGGCCTCCTTTGTGCACGAGTCTAATTGGCCCATGGAGAGGAGATGGGTCATCCTTATGCCACATCCTTTTTGCATGGCAAAATAGTCCAAGACGCCGCCTCGGGGTTTGTGGGCTTTGGACTGCCAAGCAAGAAGAGCACCAGGCTTTTCAAGAAAAGTGTCTTTTGTCTCACATTGAATTGTCTTAATACATTCTGGGACACTCCCATGTTTTGGCAGCTCAACTTTTGAGGAAATGCTTCCTTCAGGGCATTGTGGGCCAGTTATTAAGTCTTCAATTCCTTTTCACTGGGAAAAATTTAATTCCTGTTTTACTCCAAAGCAACTTCATGTATTCTGGAATGACACCCACCACCCATATATAGAAAAAGAATAGATGTATTTAGATTTCAAAATGATAATAGGTTTTAATTTATATTTAAAAATTACTTTCTATTGGAATTAGTATGAATGTGACCCAGAGGGATTATTTGAGTTATCTCAAACCTTAAGGAAGCATTGTGATTTTGTATGTGGGGGGAAAAAATGAATCAAACTTGGTAAAGATGAGTGTTGGGTCCATGAAACCAATATAGCCAGAGACCACAGACTGGACTAATTAATTAATTTCTGATTAATTCTGATTAATTGATTAATCATCAAAATGATTGCTTACATTTAAACATGATCTCTGCAAGGGCATTTTTAAATAAAAAATGTGTGTAACAGGCAGGAAAGTGTGACTTACTGAGCGGTGACATCTGCATCATACAGAGGTCAGTTGATCAGGTTCCTGACGGAAAGTGGAGCAGATGGCACAAGGCAGATGAGGTCTGATGGGGACAGTGAGGGAGGAAAGGGTAGGAGCCCTTCCCCTGGGGACGGGAGCAGGGAACACAGTAGCCAAGGACAACCTCAGGGTCCCCAGGAGCAGCCTTGCTGGGCAGTGGGGAGTGGTCTTCAGATCTAGTTTATCTTCTTCCTGCTTCTCATTCCTGAGCGTGTGTTCTGAGATGCCACCCACAAGTCCGATTCGTTGGCTATGTGTGCATGCAATCACACTCTAATTCTTTAACTTAAACTATAATAGAAATCACAATTTGGTTTGTGAACCACTCCAAATAGCATAGTGCGGAATTAATTTCTGATTATATTTGCTTGGGAATGTCATATGTAGTCTTGAAAATTTGCAGCCTTTCTTTGGCCTTCCTTTTCAATTTAATTTCATTTTTGTCTTATTTCTACCATGTTGAAACAGTGGCTGGCAAATTGAATTTATTTGCAAGAAGATTTTTTAAAAAGCCATGTTTAAGCTATAATATCTTTGCAGATATTCAACCTTTTCAAACATGTATTGGATTGGTGTCTGACAGAAAGAAACAAATACATTATAATGATTTGTAATGGCACTTTTAAAATATTAAAATCATTTACAATGCACAGGGTAAACATCCTATTGATTAAAAAAGAGTGTAGGCAATGGCCGGGCGCTGTGGCTCACGCCTGTAATCCTAGCTCTTGGGAGGCCGAGGCGGGCGGATTGCTCAAGGTCAGGAGTTCAAAACCAGCCTGAAGATAGACGTGTGCCAATGAAATCATCCAGCTGGCCACCTCCTGCCAAGGTGGCAGGGTCCCAGGCTATGAAACAGTGGGAGAGTCTCTGCACCCACAGAGACACGGGGCACCCCGTTTGCCCCTCTGTGCTGCAACCCCACCACCTTTCAATGGACAGAGGCCTTCAGGGAGCACTTCTCCGGCCCAGTGTAAGTAAGGTCAGATAGGCCAAAATGTTACGTAAACTGTAAAGTGTGGAAAAACTAGAGAACATCATCATCATCATCATCATCATCATCATCATTTAAGGATAGTGATAGCATCTCAGCTTGCTGTCTAAAGAGTTTAAATCGAGAACCATTACCTTTCTTTTTCTACTCTTTCCATTATCTTTAATTCTGTCTATTGTGGTATGATTTCGTGCAATACAAGAACAGATTTTAAGCATATATCCATTGAATTTGTTCATTATTTTTTACTAATATAAACTCAAGTCATTATATTTTAAAGTATAATAAGTCAAACAGCTGTATTTTACTAATTTAGATATTTAAGCTACAATTAATCATGATACATGTTATAGGATTGAATGTTGTGCCCCACACACACACAAACAAAATGCATATGTTGAAGTCCTAACTCCAACATGACTATATTTGGAGATAAGGCCGTTATGAAGGTTATTAAGGTTAATGATGTCATAAGGGATGGTGCCCTAATTTAATCGTGCTACTCCCCTTATATAATATTAATATTAAGAGGAAGAGGAAGAGGGGGTGGGGCCATGGTTCACGCCTATAATCCCAGCATTTTGGAAGCTGAAGTGGGAAGCTTGCTTGACATCAGGAGTTTGAGACCAGCCTGTGCAACATAGCGAGACCCTGTCTCTACATACATACAGACATACAAACATACATACATAAGAGGAAAGACACCAGAGCTCTCTCTCCACACAAACATAGGCCACAAAAGAGGTCGTGAGGATACAGCAAGAAGGTAGCTGCCTACATGCCAAGAGAAGAACCTCAGAATGAAATCTACCTTGCCAGCACCTTGATCTTGAACTTCATACCTCCAGAACTGCGAGAAATAAATGTCTGTTGTTTAAGCCGCACAGTCTATGGTATTTTGTTACAGCAGCCCAAGTAGACCAAGACTAAGACTTTAGCTAAGTTTAATGCTTATACTTGATAATACACGTTAGGCAAACACTTTCCATTTTTTGTTTTCTAATGGTGGCTTTTATTTGCAACTGGATGCTTTGCCTACACTCCTTTTAATCATAGGATACCCTGTGCATTGTAAATGATTTTATATTTTAAAAGTGCCATACAAATCATTATAATGTATTTGTTTCTTTCTGTCAGACCCAATCCAATACAGTTTGAAAAGTTGAGTATCTGCAAAGATATTATAGCTTAAACATGCTTTTTAAAATCTCTTGCAAATAATTCAATTTGCCAGCCACGTTTCAACATGGTAAGAAATAAGACAAAAATGAAATAAACGAAAAGGAAGGCCAAAGAAAGGCTAAATTTTCAAGACTACATATGACATTCCCAAAGCAAATATAATCAAGAAATTAATTCACCACACTATGCTATTTGGAGGGTTCACAACCAATTGGATTTCTATATAGTTTAAGTTAAGAATAGAGTGTGATTGATTTGCACACATTACCACGAATCGGACTTGTGGTGGCATCTCAGAACACACACTCGGGGATGGAAGCAGGAAGAAGATAAACTAGATCTGAAGACCACTCCCCACTGCCCAGCAAGGCTGCTCCTGGGGCCCTGAGGTCGTCCTTGGCTACTGTGTTCCCTGGCTCCTGTCACCAGGGGAAGAGCTCCTACCTTTCCTCTTCACCGTCCCATCAGACCTCATCTGCCTTGTGCCATCCGCTCCACTTTCCGTCAGGAACCTGATCAACTGACCTCTGTATGATGCAGATGTCACCGCTCAGTAAGTCACACTTTCCTGCCCGTTACACACGTTTTTATTTAAAAATGCCTTGCAGGAGTCATGTTTAATGTAAGCAATCATTTTGATGATTAATCAATTAATCAGAATTAATCAGAAATTAATTAATAGCCAGTCTGTGGTCTCTGGCTGTATTGGTTTCATGACCCAACACTCATCTTTACAAGTTTGATTCATTTTTTC